GTTACATACAATGTCTTTATACAACGACCTCTGTCCCTGGTTGATGGCGTTAATAATGACATTAATATTTGTCACATTGTTAAGCCAAATTGGCTCTTTGTTCGTCTTCCAACTCATCCGTCATTTCCCCTTTTACAAAATTTAGAAGACAGCATGCAGTATTGGTATAACACAGAATCGGTACCAGTTCCGAATGTATTGAACAGTAAGTGATATAAACTTAATTGATAAAAAAAACAGAAGCGGGACTATAATGTATTGTTTTATAGAGGGCGATTACGTAGCTGTATATTGGATGGAGAATTGGGTTAGAGCATATATTGAATGGCCAGATCCATCAGGAGAGAGAAGCGTAGTGCGATTACTCGATTATGGTGGTTATTGGTCGGTTAACAATTCGGAATGTAGACCATTGATATTAAATTATTTAAGCTTGCCCTTCCAAGCGATTGAAATCTTTTTAGCAAATATTCAGCCAAAAAATGGTAATTATATGTTGATGTATAATGTATATATTTTCCAGATTATTTTATATCTCTGTTTAAAATTATTTCGAATACATTATATACTATTATATTATTTATACATAAAAGTTATGCGTTTCGCGGATTTCCTCCTCGTGAACCTTGCAGTCCACTTTATCAGGGCAGCCTGATACTTAGTATACTCCTCGCCCTGATGAGGTTCACGAAACGTTGGCATTCCAAGAATGGATCTGGACACGGAGGAAACCCGCGAAACTCATAACTTTTATGTATAAATAAAGAAAGCATCTGTGGAAACCTCAAGAATATTTCTTATAGGTAAATGGTCGTCAGAAGCTTACAATGTGGTACAGAATTGTTCTTCAAAGGGAGTTGCACAAGCGCAGATTGAAGGTCGTATTCAAAGTAATACTTACGCAAACATTTATTTTATTATACAAAATTACGGGGTAAGTAGTTACTGTTTCAACTCTGAAAATTTCTTTCCAGACATTTTTGGTGTACAAATTAATTGAATTAATTGAATTTTTTAAAGGTAATTTCCCTTACTGAGGAACTGATAACGAATGGATATGCTGAAAGAGTAGTATGGGAGGACATGAAGCCAGAAACACTTGAATCCATATGTACATAAGAGTTGTAAAAAACTCTAAAATTTTCAAATTTCCTACCGAATTATCGTACATAATCCACAGTTCTTAGTCAGTATGGACTAGAGTTTAGTACAATCGCGTCAAAATTGATTTTGCTTTTTGACTTTGTTCTGTACTTGTATTTCTTAATTCTTTATTGAAGTCTGTGAATATTCTGACATATATTTCCTAGTGATTGATTATATACATAGAGAAATTAATAATGCAGTATATATACATATATATATCATTCTAATAATGAATAAGGCTAATATTTTGCTGTATAGAAAACATACAGATATTTTTGTCGTGTTTAAGTAGCAATTAGTACTCCCTTAACATTGCTCAGAAAAAATGCATTTTGTAAGCACAAAACTCGTTGTTTCAAACGAGTTCTGACAAGTACAAAAGATTTAGTCCGATAACGTAAGAACCTTTTTTACAGTAAGTCTTTAAATTATATTTCTCACTCGTGATATCTTCTCTCTTTTATCTGGAAAACTAAACTTTTCATCAGTAAAGTTATTTGCAGAATAAATCTTTCAAATAATTTCATATAAACATTCAGAAAACTGCTTTCGTTATCTAAGCGCCTTAAGACTGTTTTAAAACAGATGCAACTGTGCTTAACTCTTCTATATCCTTGTACTTTTGTATATATTGTAAAATAATTTTCCGATTGTAGAATATTTATATTTAGGAAGAGAGAAATTATAAAGATTTGCTATGATGTAGATAGTAGAGTAGAATAAATAACAATTTTGCATTTTACAAAGTAGCGTCACATCTAAACTAAAATTGTATTGAATAACTCAGACGAATTAGGAAATTCGTTTCTACGTGACTCATATTTATTTCTGATTAGAGACGATTTGAGAATCCATCAAAATAACTTAAGCTTTCCTTTTCACGTTAATTTTAGATTACCTTAGATTAAACTTGTTACTGTAAAAGTATTTGTTAAATATCATATTTCATTGTTGTCTAATCAAGTTATTTAAAGGTTGCTAATTCATGTAAGAAATTTATCTTTTAAATATTATTTTTCAATAACTTGTATCCTGCGCAACTTCACTATCGTAGCATAAAATTATTTTTATTTTACATTTGCTATTTTCTTAAGATGATTTTTGGCATTTCAAAAAGACTAAACTTTTGGATTAATCCAGACGTACGCATGTAATACTGTATATATCTGTTATCTTGGATATCAATCATTTTTGCGCAATATGTTAACACTAATCTTTTTCAATGCAGTAGAAACTAGTTAATTGAATAAGAGTCTATAATGATTTGTAATTCGTACATTGCGCTCAACTGTAACGTTTGGCGGTTATAAAATGTTAAATCTTTAATATTGTTGATCGAACATAATATAGAAATATTTTTCTAGGAATATATACATATATATATATATATACATACATGTAAGATTACGATCATTAAATCGCTCACAGTATACATGCTTTCTCGCGCGCTGCGATTAACTCGATTTATTATAATTTATTAGCGACAATATGGCGCAACGAACGTCGTTACGTAATAATCAATCGTAATTCATTTGTGTATATAAAATACGTAACTGACTGCAATTTTTGACTATTCAAATTTTGTACAACATTTCATTTAGCATTGTATTAATAATTATATAAGTAAATTTAATAACTTTTGTATATTTACACATCAGTATAATCTTTGGAGTTATTATACTTGCCTCACAATTTTTACCGCAAGTTTCTCTTACACATCTTTTATACGTCTTCTGTAAAATTAGAATAATAAGAACTTCTTTTTCTACAGCAAAAGAGAACAATGTTGTGCTAAGATTTAAACTATTGTTTTGTATTGTAAAACAGAAATAAAGATGTTTGTAAATAGTAAAATTTGATTATATCAAAATTTTTTTCTCAATTTTACTAATTTATGAAATAAACATTCAAAATTTCTCGATTGAGCATATTCTGAATATCGTATTTATGTTGATTAAGATACGCAAAGAGTTATATTTTCATCAATTTGTATTTTTAAGTTTTATCCTTGTTTATCATTTAAAAAAATTTTGTACTGTTGAGTGCAATTTTAGTCTAGGATAAAACGCACGATGCATTCAATTCGAAAGACATTAATGATTCATTTATAATTAGAAATCTCGAGAGAAATTTGATGTATATATTTATATAATGTCATAATGTTACAAATTATGTAATATTTTCTTTATGTGTGTATGTAAGTATGTAAAAGAATTGAAAGATTGATTTCTGTAGATCTTTATATGTACAGAAATATGTTTTCGCACTTTTTGTATTCGAAATGAAACAAGTATATAATTAATTTTACTATCTCAGATTGATTGTGTTTAAATGTCCGAATGTTTCGGCGGAACAGTCACATTTAAAGAGATAAATTAAATTCATGAAATAAGAATATTATATTATTCAAAACATCTAACTTTGACCGATTCTAGACGCTCTCTACTATATTTATGTTGATAATTAATTAAATATGAGACAAATAGAAGAAAGAGAAGCATACGAAAGTGCTTTTCACTTAGTGACACAAGTCTACAGAAACATCATTCTATCCTTCATAATATTGATAGAATAATAAAGAACAACACTCGTCGACTTATGTCACCAAATGGAAAGTATCTAATAGGTATGATCCACTTAACGCTACAAATACTTCGTTGACCAATTAGGAGAAAGAATTTTACGAATTGACCAATCAAAGAATGCTTTAAAGCATTTGCAGCGTGAATGGATCGCACCCTGCGTTCGGAAACGTTGCTCGATTGCCTCCGGTACCTTGAATTCTGTTGGATTCATCAGAGAGAATCAAGAGAGAGTGGAGCAGATAAGTAATTCTCTTCTCTGATTGATTCCGCCATGTCTAATCTGTACTTCCCCAAATGTGCATGTATGTGTATGTACATATATATCATACACCCAACACATATTAATGCGGTAAAATACTAGTGTGCACTAAACATGGCGGCTTCCGGGTGAATCCACTCCACTCTCCCTTGATTCTTTCTGATGCACCTGTTATATCATTTTATCTTTGTTGTTCACCGAATATTAAAAAAAGATAAAATGATATATCATGCGCATCATATGTGAAACGAAACGTAGTCATGATAGGAGTGTGATGGAATATACGGTGCTACACACATTTTAATCACATTTCACGTGCGTCTTTATAGGATAAATGCGATTGAATAATTTTCTTTATGCATACGCTTATGCGCTATGCAAATTTGTGTGGATATACCCTAAGGGTGCATCCAAAATCGCGACTGCTCAGTGAACTCTTGCATCTGATTGGCATATTCCATTAGATCTAAAATATAGACCATACAAGAGCTTACTGAACTCTCAGTGAGCGGTCGTGCTTCTGGATGCACTTTAATATTGTACCACACTAGTATTGTGTGTATGTCATATAAGTACATTGCAGTGCATTAATTCGCTGGGTCATAGCGGTTCGATTTATCAAAAATAAGAAAATGCAGTACTAAAAAGTTGATAAAAAATTCTGAAAAAAATTTTTAGAATTCTATGAGAAGAAAATAAATGATTTTTGTCTCTTGCAGTTTTTATGTAAAGTTGATAGTATTTGAATAAAAAATTATTCAAGATCAATATTTGGCAATTTTTAATAATTAATATCTTGTTAACTATTGCGAAAATTGCAAAATGCTAAGTTTTAAAAGTATAGTTCAGCCACAGAAAACAGATCACACATGCACACTTGCGGAAGTGCACTATAAAAGGCGAAACCAATCAGAGAAGAGAACCACTATCCGTTTCCACTCTCCCTTGATTCTCTCCGATTCTCTCTTATTCTTTCCATCTTACTCTTACTTTATTTATGACACGTGCTGCGAACGTGTTCCAGGGTCGATAGCTGACTCGGCTGTTGATGCAGAAGAGGATTGATGTATCGCGTATTTCGAGACCTTCGCCTGTCGGCGGTACACACGGCTTTCTAGTCGACCGCACCGATCATTACGAATGTCGCGATCCGAATGCGTCTGATACGTGTGCTTTGACATGGTCTCTCTTGGAAGTCACAAGGAGAGCCGGCACTCTCATGTACTCATGCCAGTACTTCTAAGTGCCTGCGCTATCCCGATTTCGATGTTCTTCTGGATAGTCAACGTGGTTTACTCGATACTATGGCCAGACACCGTCAACTTGACAGAAGGTTTCGTATATACGACAGACAATTTTAAATGCGTTTATCAATAATTATATTAGAGATTAGAATAAAGAAATATTTATAGTGTAACATATATATTGGTACATACACGTTACGCTGCACGAACGATTCTATTAGATCCGCCTTATTTTCGCAGTATTTTAACATGATTAGGAACAATTAGGAATGTTGCAGATCCGGCTTTCAAGTTAGAAAAAAGTTATTATGGATGTGTGAATAAGGAATACGCGATGACAAGTACGGCTGATATCTATATATAAAGGGGTCTACAATAGAAATCGTAACAGTCGTAGAGTCGTAGAAAATTAATCAATTATAGTCGAATATGAGAAGAATAATCGATTATAATTTTCAAGATCCTACGACTGCTGCGACTTCTACTATAGACCCTGCATAAAGAGTCCTCTACATAGAAATTGTAGACGGTCGTGGAGTCTTAAGTAGTAGGAAACTGATCAATTCTAATCGAGTATTCTCCTTATATTTGATTGTGATTAGTTGGTTTCCTACGATTTAAGACTTAAGACACGACCGTCTACGATTTCTATGTAGAGGATCCTTTATATTATTTGTCGTGCGACTAATTTTTCAAGCATATTAATTGCAGACAGAGAGGTTCTCGGATCTCTCTATAACTTCTCTATAACCAATCAGATCTAAATTTGTCATACGACAAAAACGGACAAATTTAATATTAGCCTTTCGAAAGTAATTGGTAATTCAATCTGACTGATTCTTTACAGAGATATATGGACACAAATGGATTCCCGTTTTCAAATCTGAAAATTTTTTACAAACTTTACCAAGATCTATGGTGTGAAGTAAAATTTACACAAAAATACAGTTGACGGCAAAAGTGATCATTTTTGCTACAACGTTCAATAACTCGGTGAAAAAAAAATCATACAGCACTCAATAAAAAAGCAAATTGAAGGTAAAGATTCACTCTTTCGCTGTAAATCGTATTTTTGTGTGATTTTTATTTTACGTCATAGACCTTTATAAAATTTGTACAAAAGTTTCAGATTTGACAGGTATCCATTTGCGTCCATAGCTTCGTAAAAGATCAGTCAGATTAAAATATCTATTATCGATTTTAAAAGTAAAAAATTCAACCTTTAACCTTCCAGCGGGTTTATGAAGGAGATACACGTAAAAATTTATTTTCTGGATTTCGGTTTCCCAAGGTATTCCTTCAGTGTCTTTCGAGCCGTCAATTCACTAAGATCTGTTAGCGTATAGTGTTTACATATAATCAATTTTTTAGATATCAGGAAATTTTTTCAGAAAAATGTTCTTGTGAAGGATACACAGGAATCGCTCAATGCCGGTGAAAAATGAAGGAGGTGCAAGTTGTGCAAAAATACAACCACCATCCTAAAATGCAACAAATGTTTTTATTTTACTTGCAAAAGACATTCGACAACAATTATTATTTGCAATAATTATACTGCGACTGAAAGCGCATAAAACTTTTTTTTATTAATACATTTTCTAATAAAAGGTAACACTTATTTTTTTAAATAAATGATTATTTAGGTATCATAAACTTTCATCGCATAATGCTTATTTGACGATATTATACTTTAATCTCTCGAATTTTCAGTCTTATTCTATGGTGTTCTCTGTACACGGCGTGCCCGCTCCCGTTATGAAAGGGCGCGCGGCCGCTGGAAGGTAAAATACTTTTTTAAAAATCTTATTACGATCATTTTTTACGAAGTTATTCTATCTCGAAGTAGAATCATTTAGAATTAGCATTAAAAAGGCTAAAATCAAGGTTTACGTATCTCTGCGAAAAATGATTATGAAACGATGGAAATAACCGTTTTAAAGCTTAAAGCCATAACTTTCGAATGTGCTTCTAATCATGTTTCTAAAAATTTTATTACAAATGATGCTAATTTGAAGTCGATCTTTTAAAATTAAAAAATAAATTTCAACTTTAATGACGTGCACGGAATAAAAAATCTTTATTGGGTAACGCTAATGTAGGCGATAAACGGTCATTTTTCAAGAAATGGTAAAAGCACTGCAAAAATCCTTATCAAAAAAACATAATAATGTAAGAGATATGTTTTACACGAAAGTGTTTCAGTTTTAGACATCTGTATTAAATTTTTCAAGAAAAATCTTTTTATTTTATAGAGTGTAAGCTATTTTAGAAAGTAAAATATTGTTCTCTTATTCAGGATCTCTTATTCTACACAGAACTGAGAAGATTTTTTATTCCGTGCACATCATCAAAATTGAAGTTCATTTTTTAATTTTAAAAGATTTATTTAAACGGTTATGGATTCTTCTGTTTTTATCGTTATTGCTATCGCTATTTTTATCGCTGTTGCCTTCGCAATCGTTGTGGCCTTTACATCATCCCGCGGAATCGTATATATATAATCATAAGGTTCACGTGAAACTGTTAATGACACAAAATTATTCATGCACACTTTTTATTGACGAATTATTAAAATAGATAATTTTGTAATACGGTGCGATATGGAAGATTGTGAAGTACGTGCGGCGTATATCAAGATATGGACATCGGCAAAAAATACGCAATATTAAAATACGAGTATCAATTTAATTTTGTTTTATTATAATGTTACACGAGACATATAATATAGATATTATAGTTTTGTGAAATAATCTAAATTTTTACATTTATGTATAATATTTGCATTATTATGTTATTAATTTTCGTAATTTGGTCAATAACGTTTACTGCTCAATCGGTTTTATTTCTCTTTTTCTTAGTTTATGGTGCGTTGATCATAAATTAAAATAAAATTTAAATTTTTTAATTTTGCTCATATTTTTTTTTTTTATTCCATTAAAATGGACTGTTACGTAAATGTTCTTATATATGCGGTGTTGTTATAAAAAAGGATCAATTGCGCAACAGCGAAAATGTCTGCGCAAAAAAGAAAATGAATAATGTATACATATATATTATTATATTGTAAAATTGATAACCTTTTTTTTTAACAAATTAAATAATAAAAGCAGTGAAGCAACGCAAGATGTTAAGTGCTAATAAATTAATTTTAATATTAAAATAATTTTAATGCAATGCAAACGTTTATGATCTAATGAGGGTTGAACCGTTTCGCATTGTATTATTGAAATTATTTTAATATTAAAATTCATTTATCAGCACAACATCCTGCATTGATTCGTAACCTTTATCATTCGATTTGTTTTAAACTTTTTGTTTAAATATATTGATTTTTATTTTTTTTTAATGAATAACGATAAAAAAAAGTTTGCAAAAAAATTATTGTATAACAGGTATTTATTGCTCAATCTATAATGCTGATTACACAAAAGTCTACAATCTAGAGAGAGAGAGGGGGGGAGGGAGAGGAAGGGGGAGAGAGAGAGAGAGAGGCGTAGCATAATATTTAAAAATTTATCTATTTTAGGACTGATTTTGATGAAATACTTTGTTAACATAATTTCTTTAATTGATATTATAGTAGAAAGTGAGAAGAAAAACTCTAACGACGGCAATATTTATTCTATGAAATATATAATTTTTTATAATCTGTTTATATTCTGTAAAATGTAAAATTCTAAATCAAATTATCTTTTTTCCATATAATTGTAATTGAATTTATATGGTGACATTTCTCAATATTTAATCAATTTTATTTTTATTTTAGAACACTCAGTGATTTCACCATGGAGATGGTTGGCTGCAATTGTAATTCCACTTATATTCTTGTTTTGGGGTGTACGCAAGAAAAGTCTGGACATTAGCGGTGGAATTCTTGGTAGTGAAAATAATATAATTTGTTATGATTATATATATAAGGATTAATAAGATTATACATCAATGCCCGTATTTACTATTGTAGATTAATTTTAATCTCAGTTTAATTTATTCTTCATCTTTTTTTTAATTCTTAGAACTAGGAAAAAAATGAAAAGTTAGTTAAATCAAAATTAAAATTAAACTACATACATTGGTAGAAACGAACATTAACTGATATAAAGATCCGGGAAAAAATGTTTCATGTATAATTATATATAATTATATATAAAATATGTTCAACAATATGTACAACATTTTTTCCTGGAAAATGTTTAATTGCATATGTATTTATGTACTAAATAAAGAAAAAATTAAAACAATACTTTTATATTCATATAATTAATTAAAATAATAACTTATTAATAAAAATTGTTTTTCTCTTTGAATATTTCGCGAAATAATAGACTTTTAATAAGTTCGGCTCGCACTATCAGAAAATGATTAATTAAAACAGAAATAGAAATTTAAGTTCTAAAGAGCAAAAATCAATAAAAAAAAGAATGCCTAAAAGAACCCTATTGTTCATGTGTTTTATATTTATTAAATAGGAATTATATAATTTCCATAAACGTTTCAACCCTCAATTCTGGATTATTCTCAGTATACATATATAAATGATAATCTACTTAACATATTTCTCCGGCTACAATCGCGTTAAATCTAGATTATCTGTATACACGAACACTAGTTCGCATTGAAGACATTGATATGTAGCAACAGCATGTCCTTGTCTCGCCGCTCGGCGTCCGAGAAGGAAAATTCCGTCAAATTACAAATTTAAATTATTCTAATTCAGAAACGGTACCGCTAGGCCTCTCTATTTTTTAATAAGGTTCTATAATATTTCTACATTACATATTTATTTAAAAAAAAAATTTATAGAAGATTTTCTTCGCAAAGTATTAAACTTCGGCTTGGTATAGGAGTTTACGTATTAAAAGCTGAAACTTTGAAGGTAAATATCTCCATTTCGGAGAAATACCTTAAGGCTACGTTCCGCAACGCTCGCTAGCATTGTTTGTCCTTGTTTAATATTTGATAAATAACGAGGATAAATTGATTGCACGAGCGTTGTGTAAGTGGAACTCAGCCTTTGCCGCATGTGTTACCACATCGCAGAATGAATGTAACATTAGGGTTGTCAAATTTCTCGCGTCGTCAGAAGTAGGATATAATATTATCCGTTACGCTGATTGATTGTAATATTATAATGTTGCAATCAATCAGCGTAACAGATAATATTATATAACAGAACATGGAAACTTAAGACGTCAATAATCGGAGATAAATGTAGAAAAATTTTGTGGAAATATATTCTTCTGGAAACGAATTCTTGCATTAGCTTTATAAGATATAATAATTGTGTAGCATTAATTTGTATATATATAACATCTAATAATGATATTTAATTTATATAATTAATTAAATTTTATAGGTTTTTTTATGGGTTTTATCCTGACACTTTCGAGTTTTGCTCATTTAATGGCTCTTGTGACGTTCTTCGTCACTGCATCAAAGGTAACGAAATTTCGGTCTGAGCAAAAGAAGAAGATGGAAGCTGATTTTAAGGAGGGTGGCCAACGGAATTGGATCCAGGTTTTGTGTAATGGTGGCATGGCTACGCAATTAGCCTTATTATATCTATTGGATGTTGGGAGCGGAGAACGACCAATTGACTTCGACAAGGAATATCGAAGTTCATGGTTATCCATTGGAATAATAGGTAACAATCAATATTCTAATATTCTTTTTATAAAAATTAAAACGATTTATATTGCAAACAATTTTATTGAATTTTAAATACAATCTACAATTTTGCATTTTACAGGGGCATTTGCATGTTGTAATGGTGATACATGGGCTTCTGAGCTTGGTACAGTGATTGGCATGGGTGATCCTTTCCTCATTACGACGAGGAAAAAAGTTCCGAGAGGTAAGAATGAGTTTTGTGGGATAAACGAATAAATCTTTTTTTATTTTAAATAAGAAATCCTATATAATGATCAGTTTTGTACGTAATCTAATTTGCCAGTTGCTAATAGAATTAATTGTCATTTTTCTTATAATTACATTAATAACTTATTAATAATAAATAATTATATTGTTAATATGAATTCTTCATATTTTGTTGTTCCAGGAACAAATGGTGGTGTATCATGGATAGGTCTGATATGTTCTGTCATTGGTGGTTTAGTAGTTGGACTTTTTTATTATATTATGGTATTAAATACCGTTGACACAGCCGTACTGCAATTAGCAGCACCACAGTGGCCCATCATAATCGTCGCAGCATTCGGAGGTCTCTTTGGCAGCATTTTAGATTCTATTCTCGGAGCGACTTTACAGTATTCAGGTAATGTAAATGTACTTTCCGATTTCATGTTTTTTTATCGTTTTAGGTTCAGAAGAGTTTCTCGATAGTTTCATCAAATTAGCCTCAAATTAAATTTTCATAATGTGCCATAATTAATATTTTTTTAGGAGTTGACGAAAAGGGTATTATAGTCGAACGGCCAGGTAAAGGTGTAAAACACATTTGCGGAAAACAAATTCTAGATAATCACAGTGTAAATCTCCTTTCTACTATTGGTATCGCACTTATTCTTCCGAGAATAGCCAATATCTTCTGGCCATAAAGTCTCTTCTAGATGTATTTTAAAAACAGAATATTCTTCTAATATTACATTTATTATTCTTACCTATATTTAAATAAATTGAATTATATAACTTGTATATTAAAAGACAGGATGATGAATTTTTACAAATTGAGTTTAAAAGTGATACTGATTTTCTGAATCTAATTCATTTCGATTTCATTATTTTAATATGGATTCCCTCTTCTTCCTCTTCCCTTTTTTTTATTTTGTAGTCTGACAGAGAAATCCATAACCAAGAAAAAGAAAATAACTTGCATATTCGATGCTCCCTTGCACTTTCATTGTAGTTTGTATTTGACTTCCACATTAAGGATGATTCAAATCCAAAATCGGATATTTATAGTTAATTTTATTGGTAAATATTAGGGATATGCAAAAGTTTACCTCTTTTTCAATTTTCTTTTATTTTCATATAAGTACTATAATCAATTTTCATACAAATCCATATTAAAAATTTTTTTTTTATTATAATCTACCGACTTTTTGGCAAATTTCGAATTTCGTTGCGAAATCGAACTATTCATCGTACAAGGACCAGAAAATCATCATGTGTATTATAAGCGAAATTCTAAAATAGTAATAATTTAAATATTGATACTTTTTAGTAATGTACTATTTTATAAACTACTTATAATGTTCCATTTTTAATTAAGCATTATCTGTTTAATAAATATTAATGTATTATTAACGTAACTTTTATTATTCTGTTGTGCGATATTATTTAATGTAATTAAAATATGAATTGTATAAAAATATAAAATTCATATCTTTAATATAATTTACATGCAGGTGTCACATTATATTATATTATTTGCTAAAGCTATAGATATTTCTGTCATTGAAAGTAATATTGGAATAATTTTCTAGATTTATTTTTTGCATCTATAATATAAAAGCGTTTTATTACTATAGTGTTCTAATAAAAGCTTGAATATGATTTTCATAATTTGCATTTTTAAATGTAGAATATATATGTAATATATATATTTTAAGATATACAGAATTATCGCATTCTCTTTAGTTAGAAACGAAATTGCAAACAATTTTTATCAAACAATAACTCTTTACATTTTTTAATTTTAACAATATTAATTTTGAATTAAAAGAAAAAAGTTTGCATACAAGAAATAAATTATATAAGGTACTTTTAAATTCTAACAAAATTTGTACATATATATAATAAACCTAGAATTAACTGAAGTTAAATATTTTCAACTAATTTATTTATACTTTTTAAGATTAATAGTTTTTTCACTATTATTCAGTTGAAAGAAAGCGATATTCTTTAATCTATTATAGTGCCTTTTATGTTTATATAATATTAAAGCAAAAATATAGTTATACACACATATTATCAAAAATATAAACAATAAATAATTATGTATATGTACATATATAAATTCGATATTTAATTCAATACGATTCTTTAATTCAATAATTTATTTTATTAAAAATAAAAAATAAATTATAAGTAATTTTTCAAATTATCTAATCTTTATGTTTCAATAAAATATCAATTTGAAAATAACAGATTTTTAGAAAATGTAAATTA